CACCCAATACCCCACTATAAGGATCTTGAATCAAGCTTTTAACCCCACCAAAAACACTAAGATACCCCACAAAATCAACCAAGCCCCCAACTTTCTTTTTGTATACTATTTGGCACTTGAGGAAGTAGGAGGCCAAGGAAGGAGATACTCACTTCCAAGAGGTGAAATAAAGCAAAAGGGAAGAGGAGAAGGATCACCCAAAGATCAAGGCAAGATCAACCCAAAAACACCAAGTAAGGGGGAGGAGGGTACTTTTAATAATCAAGGGGAATACCTTGTTTAAATGGTTTTGAGTCAAGGGGAGCCTTAACCCTTTTGGTTGTAATTGAAGTGGTGTGTGTTGATGAATCCATGATTAAAATTTTGATTGAAATAAATAAATGTATGGAAATCACTAAGAATCACAAAGTGTTTGATGATGACTTTGCTTGTTATGTGGTTAGTTGTATGAAAATCTTGCATGTTTCATTTTGTGACTTATTTTTATGATGATATCTAAGTTGGATTCATGATCTTCTTTTGGATTGAAATTAGTTTGGAGTCAAAAAGAATTTCCAAAGTATTTTTGAAAATTTATGAAAGAAACTTCTAAAAGGAAATGGATTAAAAATGGAAAATGACCATGATGAAGACCCTTGGACTTTTGAACATATTTGGACCTATGGACTACATGGGCAAATGATGAGGACAAACTTTAAAAAAATAAAAATAAAATTGAAAGATTGAACCTAAAAATAGGAAAATACCATGGACTTGGACCAAAAAAAAAAAAACCTTAGAAATGCAAGATCCTTGTCCACATGTGTGGTAGGATCAAGAGAATGATTTGGACCATATTTGGACATGAATTAATGACCTCGAACACATGGAAGACATAATGGACAATTTGATGCTTACCAAATTGGAGACAAGGACCTTTTCTCAATTAATATAAAATATAAGGATTAAGGAGTAAATAATGTAAAATATGAGAAAATATTTAAAAGTGTTTTTTTTAGTATTTTATTCATGAAGATAGTAAAATTTATATTATTTTCCCGCTGAGTTTATTTTATTTGGATTTATATTTAATTAGTTATGATTTTTATAAATTTCTGTTGCATGAAAATGGTATTCTGGAGCAATATATCTTGATTTATTTTTGTCTCACTGTGTGTTTGGAGAGTTATTTTATTGATATTTTTATACTAAAATAGACTTCTTAATGGAAGTATACTCACTGATTTCACTTTATTTGGAATTGAAATAAAATAGTTATGAATTTTTGAATATTCGGTTATGTATAAATATTTTTTTGAGAACTACGTACTTTAAATAATTTTCTTCTTATAATTCAAGTGTGATTGTATTTTATTTATAATTTTTTCTTAAAGTATAAGTTATCAAGAAAATATTTTCACTGAGTTTGATCAATTTGGAGTTAAAATGAATTACTTATGATTTTTTTTAAGGTGCTGTTGTATGAGAGTAACGTTTTGTGCATACTACTAGAACTCTCTTTTCGTTTTAGAATGTATAAGTAGCGTTATTTTATTATTTTTTTCGTGTAAAAATAGAGACTATAAGAGAAATATCCTCTTTGGTTTGATGAATTTTGGACTTAAAATAAAATAGTTATGACTTTTCTAAATTAACTAATTCTGAGAAATGTGTTACTGTGAGTGATAGAGAATGTTAGGACTTATTCTGAAATATGGAAGCTATAAATTTTTAATTATATTAACATTTCTAGTTCATGAAATCTGAACAAATTTTGATTGTTAGCCATGTCCATGTAATTGATTGTTCTCTTGAAATAGAAATGTTATAATGTGCCAGTTGGACAATCAATGGCTATGATATTATTTGTGTTTATGATATTAATTGATTGTAAAATTCATAATAAATTCAATTTTGATCCAAAACATATGAGACCAGTGAGATTATTCTCATTAACATCTCTATGTTCATGTAAAAATACTTTCAAAATAAAACTATTCCCAGACATCAATTCATGCTTTAATTTCTCAATACATGTCACAGAATAGCACAATTTAACAACAACCTATTGGAAAAATCATAAGTTATTCGATTCTCCACCAAAATTCATGAAACAAATGATATTCTTTCACTTTGGTTATCCAGTTTCGTCAAAAAATATAATTAAAAATTTATAGCTTCCATATTCCAGAATAAGTCCTAACATTCTCAATTACTCACAGTAACACATTTCTCAGAATCAGTTAATTTAGAGAAGTCATAACTATTTTATTTTAAGTCCAAAATTCATCAAACCAGTGAGGATATTTCTCTTATAGTCTTTATTTTTACACAAAAATAATAATAACATAACGCTACTTATACATTTTAAAACGAAAAGAGAGTTCTCAGTAGCATGCACAAAACGTTACTCTCATGCAATAGCACCTTGAAAAAATCATAAGTAATTCATTTTAACTCCAAATTGATCAAACTCAGTGAGAATATTTTCCTTATAACTTATACTTTCAGAAAACATTATAAATAAAATACAATCACACTTGAATTATAAGAAGAAAATTATTTAAAGTATGCAGTTCTTAGAAAACCATTTATACATAACTGAATATTAAAAACTTCATAACTATTTTATTTCAATTCTAAATCAAGTGAAATTAGTGAGTATACTTCCATTAAGAAGTCTATTTTCATAAAAAAAATATCAATAAAATAACGCTCTAAACACACAGTGAGACAAAAATAAATCAAGATATACTGCTCCAGAATACCATTTTCATGCAACAAAAATTTATAAAAATCATAACTAATTAAATATAAATCTAAATAAAATAAACTCAGCGGCAAAATAATATAAATTTTACTATCTTCATGAATAAAATACTAAAAAAACACTTTTAAAGATTTTCTCATATTTTACATTATTTACACCTTAATCCTTATATTTTATATTAATTGAGAAAAGGTCCTTGTCTCCAATTTGGTAAGCATCAAATTGTACATTATGTCTTCCACATGTTCGAGGTCATTAATTCATGTCCAAATATGGTCCAAATCATTCTCTTGGTCCTACTACACATGTGGACAAGGATCTTGCATTTCTAAGGTTTTTTTTTTTTTTTTTGTCCAAGTCCATGGTATTTTCCTATTTTTAGGTTCAATCTTTCAAATTTATTTTTATTTTTTTAAAGTTTGTTCTCATCATTTGCCCATGTAGTCCATAGGTCCAAATATGTTCAAAAGTCCAAGGGTCTTCATCATGGTCATTTTCCATTTTTAATCCATTTCCTTTTAGAAGTTTCTTTCATAAATTTTCAAAAATACTTTGGAAATTCATTTTGACTCCAAACTAATTTCAATCCAAAAGAAGATCATGAATCCAACTTAGATATCATCATAAAAATAAGTCACAAAATGAAACATGCAAGATTTTCATACAACCAACCACATAACAAGCAAAGTCATCATCAAACACTTTGTGGTTCTTAGTGATTTCCATACATTTATTTATTTCAATCAAAATTTTAATCATGGATTCATCAACACACACCACTTCAATTACAGCCAAAAGGGTTAAGGCTCCCCTTAACTCAAAACCATTTAAACAAGGTATTCCCCTTGATTATGAAAAGTACCCTCCCCCATTACTTGGTATTTTTGGGTTGATCTTGCCTTGATCTTTGGGTGATCCTTCTCCTCTTCCCTTTTGCTTTATTTCACCTCTTGGAAGTGAATATCTTTTTCCTTGGCCTCCTACTTCCTCAAGTGCCAAAGAGTATACAAAAAGAAAGTTGGGGGCTTGGTTGATTTTGTGGGGTATCTTAGTGTTTTTGGTGGGGTTAAAAGCTTGATTCAAGATCCTTATGGTGGGGTATTGGGTGATCTAACTTGTAGGGTGCAAGTAAAGTGTTTGAGATGAACTTGGATGTGTATAGAGAGAATTGAGATGAAGAAGAAGTAAAGAGTTCTTGGTTGTATGAGAATTAGTATGAAAGGTCTTTTTCTCCTTCATGCATGGCTTTATATAGAAAATATCTTCATGTTGGCCCACTCTCATGCATCTCATGGTTGCACCCTCTCTAAAACAAGTCTTGATTTTCAATTTTGGTTCCTTTTTGGCTTTTTCTACAAGCCTACCCATGTGCACATTTGTAAATATCCAAGATTGCCCTTTCATGATAGTTTTGTAATTCTAGTTAGATTTTAACTTTCCTATTTCCATTTCAACCATTCCAATTACTTTTTGAAACCTATTTAGTTTAAATCCAATGGCCATGGTCATGGTTCAATTAGATCCATTGGATGAGGATTAGTCCACAAATTATTCATCATTAGCCTTATCTTCTAGAATACTTATCTTGTTGTTTTGGCTTAATTTCATTGGTTCTTATGGAATATGCTCATCCAGCAGGGATTAAACCATAAATGACCTTATCCCTTAATCATGATTAGTCTCACATGACTCTAAAGGGTCACATGGCTCCTTACTACTATTCGTAGCCCACTTTCTTTCATATACACTTGGTTTTTGGGTCTCTTTTTGGGTAATTTCTATACTTTCTCTTTTGGCTCCATACTTGCAGGTCCATAACCTCTACACATGGGCCATCTATCATAAAAATTTCATAATTTATCTCCTTCATTTGCTTGTCCAAAATGGGCCTCCATTCTAGGTGTTTCTAGGGGTATTTTGGTCATTTTAGTTAAATTTTACAATTTTATTTATTTTCCATTTTTGAATCTTTATAAATTTCTTATAATTCATAAAAATATTTTAGATATTTTAAAATGTTAAATAAATTTTTTTTATTTCCTTTTCATATTACTCGATTATTTACCGATCGGACTTGTTTCGATAAATTTTACTAAGAAAAATTCTAGTTCTCAAGTCTCTTTGTACTAGTTACTTTTAATTAAATGAGGTTAACATAATGAAAAATCATTTATGAAAAGAGAAAAATTTGGGGTGTTACGTTTCTACCCCTTTAATAAAAATTTCGTCCTCGAAATTTGATACTAACCTTTTATTGAAACAACTGAGGGTATTTCTCTTGCATCTGCTCTTCGAGTTCCCATGTTGCTTCTCCTTCATTATTTTCATTCCAGATCACTTTAACTAATGGAATAATCTTTCCACGAAGTTGCTTAATTCTGCGATCTTCTATTCTTACAGTCTGCACATCGTAAGTCAAATTTTCTCGTACTTGTACTGTATCTGATTCTATTATGTGCGAAGGATCGGGAATATACTTTTTTAGTTGTGATACATGAAATACATCATGAATATTTGAAAGAAATGGGGGAAAATCAATTTGATAAGCAACATTTCCTATTCTACGAAGAATTTGGTAGGGTCCTATAAATCTAGATGTTAGCTTCTTTGATTTCATTGCCCTTCCAATCCCAGTCACAGGCATGACTTTCAAAAAAACATGATATCCCTCTTTAAATTCAAGAGATCTCCTCCTCTTATCAGCATAACTTTTTTGCCTACTTTGTGTTGCTCTCATTTTTTCTTGAATCATTTTGATTTGTTCAGTGGTCTGCCTAATCATTTCAGGTCCTAAGAGCAAACTCTCTCCAGTTTCTAACCAACACAAAGGTGTCCTACATTTCCTGCCATACAGAGCCTCATAAGGTGCCATCCCTATGCTTGAATGATAACTATTATTGTAGGTAAATTTAATTAATGGCAGATATTGCTCCCAATTCCCTTTGTGTTCTAAAACACAAGCTCTTAACAAATCCTCTAAGGATTGAATGGTTCTCTCTGTTTGTCCATCAATTTGAGGGTTATATGCTGAACTCAATCTCAACTTAGTTCCTAATGATTCATGAAGGCTTCTCCAGAATCTTGAGGTAAATCGGGGATCTTTGTCAAATACAATGCTTGAAGGTATTCCATGCAATCTAACAATCTCTTTGATGTAACTCTGGGTTAGTTTCTCTAAGGAGTACCTCTAAGGAGTACCTAATGTTTATAGCTAGAAAATGGGAAGATTTTATCAATTTGTCGACAATAACCCAAATTGAGTCATGTCCAGCTTGAGTCTTAGGTAAGCTAACCACGAAATCCATTGAAATACTGTCCCACTTCTATTCAGGTATGTCTAAAGGTGTTAAAAATCTTGCAGGCTTTTGATGCTCTATCTTAGCCTTCTGACATACTAAACAAGCAGACACAAACCTAGCTACATTCTTTTTCATTCCATTCCACCAGAAAAGTTTCTTTAAGTCCTGATACATTTTGGTGATTCCTGGGTGCATACTTAATTTACTCATGTGAGCTTCTTCAAAAATCAATTGTCTAAGGCCTCTATCTTTTGGTACACAAATTCTGCCTCTAAATTTTATGAGACTGTCCCTTCCTTTTTCAAAATCATACACCTTTCCTTCTAACATTTGTTTTTCAATACCTAAAAGATATTGGTCAACTTTTTGGGCTTCTCTGATTTGATTCTGTAATTCACTAGTCACAGTTATCATGGTTAATTGAACCTTTTCAAATCCTCTATTGATATTCAAGCTTAAGTCTCTAAACTTCTCTAGCAATTCTGCCTCTCTAACCATTAAAGCAGCAACGTGTAGAGTTTTACGACTTAATGCATCTGCCACAATATTGGCCTTTCCTGGATGGTATTGTAACTCAAAATCATAATCTTTTATGAATTTCATCCATCTTCTCTGCCTCATGTTCAATTCCTTTTGATCAAATAGATATTTCAAACTCTTATGGTCACTGTACACTATGAATTTTGCTCCATACAAATAGTGTCTCCAAATTTTTAAAGCAAAAATCATGGCTGCTAGTTCTAAATCATGGGTAGGGTAGTTAGCCTCATGGGATCTCAATTGCCTTGATGCATAAGCCATTACTCTCCTTTCTTGCATGATCACACAACCTAGTCCTTGTTTAGAAGCATCACAATAAACATCAAAAGTCTTCTCAGGGTTAGGTAAAATTAATACAGGCGCTGAGGTTAACTTTTCCTTAAGGGTCTGAAAACTATTCTCACAAGCAAGGGTCCACACAAATTCTTGTCCTTTCTTGGTGAGTTAGGTCAATGGCATAGCTATCTTAGAAAATCCTTCAATGAACTTCCTATAATAACCTGCTAATCCTACAAAACTCCTAACTTCAGTCACTGTCGTGGGCCTTTCCCATTGTAAAACAGCCTCTACCTTCAATGGATCAACAGCGACTCCTCCTTCTGAGATCACATGTCCTAAAAATTTCACTTCTTTCAACCAAAATTCACACTTAGACAACTTAGCATACAACTTCTTTTCTTGCAAAATAGTAAGTACAATTCTCAAATGCTCTTCATGTTCAGCCTCAGTCTTAGAGTATATCAATATATCATCTATGAATACTATTACAAACTGATCTAAATATGGATGAAAAATTCTATTCATATAATCCATAAAAATTGCAGGTGCATTTGTTACTCCAAAAGGCATTACTAGATACTCATAATGTCCATATCTAGTCCTAAAAGCTGTCTTAGGTATGTCTTCTGCTTTAACTCTGATCTGATGATACCCTGATCTAAGGTCAATCTTAGAAAACACTTTTGCTCCTCTAAGTTGGTCTAACAAATCATTGATTCTAGGCAATGAATACTTATTCTTAATTGTTACCTTGTTCAATTGCCTATAATCTACACAAAGTCTCATACTACCATCTTTTTTCTTAACTAACAAAACTAGGGCTCCCCATGGTGATACACTAGGTCTAATGAATTGTTTATCAAACAACTCCTCTAATTGCTTTTTCAATTCAGCAAGTTCTGATGGGGCCATCCTATAAGGTGCAATTGAAATAGGTCCAATTCCAGGAATCAACTCTATGGAAAATTCTATCTCTCTTTCAGGTGGTAAAGAGCTAATATCATCTGGAAATACTGTGGAGAATTCTCTCACTACAGGTATTTCACTGATTTCTTGAGTTATCTCTACATTTAAGGAGGCAATCATCATGTATATCTGAGCTCCCTCTTTAATAGAAGCTTTTATTTGATTGGCAGTAAAAAATCTAAAGTTATCATTTTTAGAAATAACTGCTTTCGTTGAACAATAAAGAAGGATTTGATTAGAGGAAAGCCAGTCCATTCCAAGAATTAAATCCAATTGTGCCAAAGGCAAACAAATCAGGTTTATTAGGAATCTTCTATTATTAATAAATACAGGGCAATTTACACAGGCTTGAGCAGTTTGTACAGGTTGAGAAGTAGGGGTAGATATTACTAAGTCATGATTAAGAACAATAGGTTTCAATCCTATTCTTTTTACACAGTTTATAGCAATAAAAGAATGTGTCGCACTAGAATCAAACGGTACTTTAAGAGAAAATCCGTTTATGGTGCACGTACCTTGTATAAGGTCATCAGACTGTATAGTCTGGGTAGCTTCCTCCCCGCTTATTGTGAATACTCTTCCTGATACCTTTGATCTGTTTGCCTTGCATTATTTACAGCTACCTCTCTTTTTAGTAGACGACAATCCTTTCTATAATGTCCTGGTTTGCCACAGTTAAAACAAACAGAACCCTTCTCTGAGCATTCAGAAGCATAATTATCTTTTCCACACATCCAACATTTAACCTCCTTGGCTTCTGAACTAGATCCAATCCCTTTATAAATAGATTTATGGAATGTAGGCTTAGGGGCATAAGGCTTTTTCTTGCGAAAATCCTTTTTCTTCCTTGCAGGGCCAAAAGTTTTCAGACGATTTAGCCTTTGGTTTTCTAGACTTTCCAAAGCTGCACATTTATTTACCATCTCAGGGAAACTTACTATCCCTTAGGTAATCACACCCTTCCTCAACTTATACCTCAAATTTTTGGCACTTCCACTGAGCGTCAGGGTGATGCTGATAATATGTAGCATACTCAGATAATGCCTCAAATTTAGCAGCATACTCACCTACAGTCATATTTCCCTGTCTAAGGTACATGAATTCTGTCTCTTTTGCCCTCCTGACATTTTCTGGAAAATACTTTTCCAAAAACTTCCTCTGAAAAGCTTCCCATGTTACTACCTCCCCTGCCACCATCATCAATTGTTGAGTTCCGTGCCACCAGTTCTCAACCTCTCCTTCCAACATAAAAACAGACAATGTAACCTTCTGCATATTAGGGCATTCCATAATAGTAAATATTTTCTCCAGCTTCTGGAGCCACAACTTTGCTCCATCAGGGTCATAACCTCTCTTAAACACAGGTGGGTGGTTTCGTTGAAATTCAGCCAATGCACTTGGCTCATTTCTAGCATTTCTTTTTCTCATTTTAGCTACTAATTGGGTGGTAGTGTCCACCATATTCCTAATAGCTTCGAGAGTTGTGTCATTGTGTCTTGGTCTACTTGCCATAATTTTCTGCTTCAACCAAATATAATCTTGGGGTGATCAGACTCAACATTATAATAGGAATCAGAAAATTAAGGTAAGTCTACCAATTCATAATGCCTAGACTCCCAGGTCATACTAATCATAACTGTTTATCTTAAATTGGCAAATATTTATGAACGACTTAACATTCCTGACAAAATGTAAGGTGTCCCATACCACATTAGTTCTTTGGGTGAATGTTACTTCTTTCACTAGAATCACCAACTTCCTAACATAACAAATTAACTAGACCAAACTGCTCTGTACATGAAAATCAAACAAATTCATAAGATTAAAGTGTGGACCACTTCATGGGCATTCCTATCTTATACTCACAGTCCGGTTTGGACCCAACTGCTCTGATATCACTAAATTGAGACGTCCCTATTTTCAATAAGTATTTCTCAAAGTCATCCCATTTCTTGTGGTGAATAAGGAATAAATTAAAGTGTTTAATAACTACTTAATTTCAAATGTATACACATCAACATGCTTATTATATTTATGTCCTCAAGCACAATATTTAGAGTACATAATATAATATTACATGCTATCTAGATTATTCTCAAAACTATTTAACTATGGAACATTACAAGGAAGGTTAACAGTCTAGGATAGTATACTACACATAATACATAAATAAACTAAACTCCTCCTCTCCTTTTGACTCCTTCCTTATTCATCCAATCCCTTTGGAGGAGGGTTGAGATCAATGCCAAGGTATGCAACTGAATGGCAGAGAGGAAAAGGGACTTCCACTCTAGCTTCTCCCTGTATAATAGTAGGACTAATATAGGGATTGTTAACAGTAGATATAGTTAAGATAATAAAGCCTTGAAATATGATAGTCTGGTTAGAGTCATTGAAACTCCACTCTCCAGTCCCCATACTAAAGGTCATAGTACGCGCAGGAATAATTGGTGCACCTTCATTCATTTTGCATCCATATGCATTTTGGACACATCATAGAAAAAGATAGGGGTGAGTACAAATATTCATAAACAACCTTATAGGCAATACTTATGTTTAAATGAACAAAACAACATTCAAGCATCAAGCAATAATCATTCAGTATCTTTTATTTGTGAGTCCTCCATGGAGTAATTAATTAATTAATCCATCATTTTAATTTCAGGTTGAGATTGGGAGTTATGTGTCTGCAATCCAGCTAGTGTTATAGGTACATCCTCCCCCTTTATCGGAGACAGAATGAATGAAGGTGCACCAATTATTACTGCGCATACTATGACCTTTAGTATGGGGACTGGAGAGTGGAGTTTTAATGACTCCAACCAGACTATCATATTTCAAGGCTTTATTATCTTAACCATATCTACTGTTAATAATCCCTATATTAGTCCTACTATTATACAGGGAAAAGCTAGAGTGAAAGTCCCTTTTCCTCTCTGCCATGCAGCTGCATACCTTGGCATTGATCTCCACCCTCCTCCAGGGGAATTGGATGAATAAGGAAGGAGTCAAGAGGAGAGGAGGAGTTTAGTTTATTTATGTATTATGTGTAGTATACTATCCTAGACTGTTAACCTTCCTTTTAATGTTCCATAGTTAAATAGTTTTGAGAATAATCTAGACGGTATGTAATATTATATTATGTACTCTAAATATTGTGCTTGAGGACATAAATATAATAAGCATGTTGACATTGAGAAATACTTGTTGAAAATAGGGACGTCTTAGATGTGCCTGAAGACTTTGTGAAAAAGAAGGCATTTCCATTCTCACTGTGTGAAGTGGCCAAAGATTGGCTTTACTTTCAGCCACTATACAAGATTTTTAGACCCAGATTGGGCAACTAGCTACCTCACTGAACAATCTGCAGCAGCAAGGATCTGGAACATTACCTTCTCAACCTGCGGTAATTCCCAAAGATAATATGAGTGCTATCACTTTAAGAAGTGGCAAAGAGCTGAAGAACAGCCCAGTGCAGGCCAAACCAGCCCAGTCTAGTACAGATGTCACAAAGAAGTCTATACAGCAGCAGCAGATCCCTCTTCCATTTCTAGCAAGAGCTTCTACGTCAAAGAAAGTGGATCCTAATCAAGAGTTGCTGGATACTTTTAAAAAGGTAGAGATAAATATATCGCTGTTAATTGCCATTAAATAGATTCCTAGGTATGCAAAATTTTTTAAGGAGCTATGTACATACAAGAGGAATTTGAAGAAGAAGGAAGTCCAAACAGTCTCATCCCTGTCTCAGTCCAGCCTTCCACAAAAATGTGTTGATCCAGGTACATTCTCCATACCCTGCACAATTGGAGAAGCAACCTTTACTAATGCCTTGCTAGACTCGGGAACTTCCATCAATGTCATGCCATCAGCTGTGTACAAAATGCTGCATTTGGGAGACTTAAAGCCAACCAATGTGATCATCCAATTGGCAAACCGCAGCACAACTCAGCCTTTGGAAGTGCTTGAAGATGTGTTGGTAAAAGTCAACAAATTAATTTTTCTAGCTGACTTCTATATTCTTGATATGCAGGATGATACTTCTACATTGATTTTGGGAAGGCCATTTTTAATGACTATAAGGACTAAGATTGACGTTCATACAGCACATTGTCCATGGAATTTGGAGATGACACAATTCACTTCAACATTTTTTAAGCCATGAGACATCCAACTGAAGGCCATTCTCTGCTTTACGATCATTTTGTTTTCCTAATTGATGTTGCAGAAAATAATAAAAACATTGATATATGTGCAAAAGTAGATGTAGATATAGACTTTGATTTTTCACAATTTTTACAGTTTTCAGATTTAGACATTGATCCTCTACCAAGCTGCACTTGTGACAGTGGCATGTGTGCCATTTGTGTTGAGATTCATATTGCTATATCCTCTGTTTCATTGATGAATTTACATTTTATTGGATTTTAACTTGTCCTTTTAGTGTTCTTTAATAGAAAAAGTAGGCTTAGAGAGTGTAAATAGCATAGAAACATCATTTTGGTCAAATTTCATAGATTTCTTAATTATTGGCTGATTTACGTTGATTTACATAGATATAATTTGTAATTTTGATCATTTGAATAATTGTGCAAGAATTTCTAGGCTTATTCCATGAATTTTTAGCCTTTTGAGAAAATTTGAGTTGAAAGTGACCACTTTCAGAGTGATAGTGGACACTTCACAGTCATAGTGGACACTCCAAAAAGGGCCAAATTGACCCAATCTTGTGCGTAGCCTGATGAATCCACTTTTTATTATATTTTTACTTGCCTTTTTGGTGCTCTTTGATAGAAAAAATGGACTTAGATAGTGAAAATAATATAGAAATCACATTTTGAGTAAATATCATAGGTTTATTAATTTTTGGTTAATTTGCATTTAATTACATAGATATAGGTTGCAATTTTAATTATCTTGATGATTTTGCAGAATGCCCAAATTAAATTTGAGAAATCTTGGTCCTTGGATGAAAGTTGCCCACAAAGTAGCCACTTTGAGGAGCAAAAGTAGCAACTACAGCAAGCCTGGGCATTAAAGGTCCCAAAGTAGCCACTTTGAGGAGCAAAAGTGGCAACTCTAGAAGCTCCAGGGACGCCAATTTTGAAGCATGATGCGCGTGGTCACTATGGGCTCTCAAAGTGGCTACGCGCATCCAAAGTAGCTACTTTCAAGACCAAAAGTGGCAACTTCAGAAGCTCCAGGACGCTGATTTTGAAGCCTTCCTGCGCGTGGTTACTATGGGCTCTCAAAGTAGCTACGCGCACCAAAGTAGCTACTTTCAGCACAAATAGTAGCAACTCCAGAGAAGCGGCATTCCTTCCATTCTGCGTGTGGACACTTTCAAGGCCCAAAGTGGACACTTTCAAAGGCAAAAGTGGACACTTTGGTGACATGTCATCCACTATAAATAGATTTTAGGAATTAGGGTACGGGACTTTTGACACTTTACACATTTTTCCTTTGCCAAATTGGGATAATTGCTTACGACATTGGAGTCTTGGGTGACAGCCAAGGGTCCTCTATAGGTTTTAATTTCCAATTTCTCCTTTGATTTTTGTTAAGTTTACATTAATGATGTTTACGTTCTTGCATTTCTTTCTCTCATTTGTGAAGCCCATCCATATGGAGGGCTAAACTTTCTTGTAATTCCTAGTCAATGCACATGAATCTTGAATTCTTGGGATTAATTGTAATACAAATCTTTCTTTCCTTGAATTTATTAACCCCAATCTCTGAATGAAATGAAATTTGCATGAAGGGAACATTGCTTAATGAACCCTAATTTACTTAACGAAATTCTAATTCAAAATTGCTTAATTTTGATTAATCCTTGAGGTTGCTTAATCTTTGGGATAGAGATTGGAGCCCATTAAAATGCTTAATTTTAATTGGGATGTTAAAGTTAGTCTTCGCTTGTTAGATTAACTTAATTTAAGGGAAAGAAAGGGGATTATTGAATCATTAGAAAGAATAATGATAGAACTCATTGCTTGACTAGGGATTACTCATTTTAATTGATTGAATTTCATTAAATTTACACTTTGCTCTTGATTAAAATCTGGAAATTGACAAACCTCCCCCCAATTTACTTGCTTTAAAATACATGTTTACACTTGTTCGATGTATGTTCCCAACCAAAAATTTCTTGGAGACGACCTAAGATAACACCCTAGTACTGCATTCATTTCTTTGCATATTTGATGAGGATTAACGACAATCTTTTGCATGACGAGTAGTAAAAAATCGTTTCATCATAGCCACTTCCATTCCATAGTAGCTACGCGCACTGCGTGTAGTCACTTTGAACTTCATAGTGGAGACTCTAGAAAGGGATGACAAGATGGAGGTTGCACGTAGCTACTATTACTTTCGTAGTAGATACTATGGGCGATGACCACTGCACTATAAATAGAATTTTAGAAATTACGGTTGGAGAGCTTTTACACATTAGATACTTTACCATTTTTAGAAAACTTTGCAGAGCCTAGGCTGGCCTTGGGTGACAGCCAAGG